AGAATATTTAGAAATACTTTTGAATGTTTATTTCATTATTATGCCATGCTTTACATTTAAGGATACCAGTATGAGTATGTATAGGATGTTCCAGAAAAGATTTAGACTTGAAAAATCACAATAAGAAGTTTTAGAAAAAAATATTTTTGCCAGTATTCTCTATTCTGAGAAGGAGTCATCGTCCAGGCCGAGGGTCCTGACTAAGGCATTGACTTCTTGAAACTACTTGTGCCAAAGTCGGGAGCACACGAGCCGAGGGTCTTGTTGCTGAGAATTTTACTTAGCCTATGATACATGAGCGCTGAGAACCGTGAAGTTAGTGACACCTCGTGGATATGGCCTATTCGATCAGGTTAGGATCGCACCGTGCCGATCACACGGTGACTAACACAGAAATAGGTCAGGATAGTTGGAACTCCCGAAGTATAAAGTGAAGTATTTTTTTATAAGAAAGAAAAAGAAAAGAATTTCTTTTAGAATATTCATCAACTGATATTATGCAATTATTTTAGAATTATTCGTAGAAGCTTTATGTTTTCCATGCATTTAGAATGTTTGCTCATAATATATATTTTATTAAAGTTTCGTCCCTTGTCGTTCAGACTCACTGAGTAGAATGAATGGTACTGATGTTCTCTTTTGGGAACCTACGTTGTTCTGCGGTACAACGTAGGAACCGATTTTGCAGGCGAGCAGGCTACTGGTTAGGACTTTCTTCTCTTCCAGTGCTATTGTGAGCTCCAATTTTGTTCGTGGAGTATTCCTTTGAGTCATCTTTATTTAGTTATTTCTTTATTTACTTGGAGAATTCGCCAGGTAATCTCATGTCCTAAGCAGTGCGTCAGTTTATTAGCAGAGGCCTCATAGACACAGTCGATGAGTTAAGATTCAGATGTTTTTGATAATAACTTAACAATATTTCAGTGTTTACTACAAATAAAGTTTTGGAATCGATTTATATTAGATATTTAAATTAATTAAAAGTATTTGGTTAAAGTATTGCCTTGTTCATATAAAGTTTGAAGTTATAATAGATTTGATAAGCGCACATGGTTCGCTCGGTCATGTTGTGATTGGGTGCCGGTCATGGCTTGTTCAGAAAATGGGTCATGACACATAATTTTGCGATCTTGACTTCCTTTAATTTAGGTCCTTCCTATAATATCATCCATTAATCTTCTACCAAAACCTTGATTGATTTTCCCTTCGGATTTCCGTTACTCCTTCATTTTGGGGTTAGGATCCCCTCCAGTGATGTTTGGTCTAGTATTGTTCAATAGGGTGTTGATTTTCTGACACGTGTCCTACATACTAATTAATGGACAAGATCTCTTTAACTAGAAAGCTAGTTTAACCATGGTTCAATTTCTCTTCTCTCCCGTTCTACGTCTATGTGGTCAAGACTACCTATATTTTCTTTCGCTTGATGCTAGTGAATTATTGTTCTTTTATGGATATGTTCAAGTTCATTTTAGCATAAGTAAAGATAGAGGCGGAGTCAGGATTTAAAATCTATGAGTTCTGAATTTGTTACTGAACTCATAACTCGTTTTAGTTACTAGGTTCACAATTAATATTTATACATATTTTTTTGAACATTTTAATACAAATACAAAGTCTAAGCAAAATTTACCGGGTTCGTTCGAACCCGCATTTACTTCTCTAGCTCGACACTGTAAAGTGGAGGTGAAATCACCTAGAGATGCTTTCTTTCTGCGATATCAGGATTGAGTTTAGTGATGTTCGAAGCCATTTTAATTCAATGCATAGCCGCAAAACGAATTCCTCTAGGATGCCACTTTTCATCTCAACCATACCATCGAAAAGAAAAAAAATTAGGATCTAAAACAATATACATCAGACATGAAGAGGGTGGTGGTGGTATTTATCAGTCTTGGCTTGAACGCAGCAAAGTCTTCGACATAGCAAGGAATGGTAATGGTGTAACCCTTTTGATTAACAAAATTTACTGCCTCAGCCTCTTTGTGTAATTGAATAAAAAATGGGCGATTGAAGCATGAAACATTATCTTCTACTTGCCCTATTTGAATCGCTAGATATCCTTTTGAGACATTGTTATTTACTTATTTTTTTCCTGGACTAATTTGAATAAGGTGAGGCAAGTGCAAATGTTTATTAAGAAGAGTCCTCTCTCCACCACCCAATCTATATCTATATATAAAAGTGGGAATGAGAAAGCTGACGTGGCACATCCCAAATACCAACTTTCCTATTTATCTTTTCCGTGGTTATTTTGCTTTCTCCTTTTTTTTTTTTTTATATATTTTAGTTTTAAGTGCAAAAACTCAAACGACACTTCTTTACTTCTCTTGGAATAACCTACGTTCTGCCAGCTTTTATGAACCAAAGAAACGTTTTGGTTACTCATCATCAAGACCTATAATAACTAACCAGAATTAAAACACATCAGAATTTGAAAAGCCTATCACTAGATAAATTGGAGACTATAAAATTGATATTATAATGTGGTTTCTCTTGAATTTCCTATTCGAGTTCTTCATTTCAATCAACTAACTTCCTAGATTAGAAACCAAAGCATTATCCACTAAATAAGTTGATTCTTATATAAGGACATATGAATTGTTTGCATTATATATACGAAGCTTCGAAAGCGAGATGTCAGCAAAAATTTGTGAAATTGTCGATTTGCTAGAACACAGAAATTTCCAGTATTCGAACTTCGCGATGACGACTTTCCGGTTACGAACGAACTCTTCCCCAAGGTATTCTATACGTTTGTGATAGTCTCTCTTTATAATCTCTCTGTAATTTTATTGCGGGACTTTTCCTTTCTTCGTTTTCATCTTTAAAGCTTTACTTAGTTTTTTTTCTTTCTTTTCAACTCAACGCAAAATAATATGGTGATCAATATTCATCTGAGTTCTCAGAGAATCATTCCAATTTTGTGATACAACTGCTCTTATCTCTATGATCTTATCGCTTTCAATGGTATCCTCTGTGACTCCCCTCTGTGCTAAACTGATAAGAGAGGGTGATAAGATGTTGATACAGTAGAAATATTTATTTGGGGAAATAATCAAAACTATAAAAAAAATTGAAAGAAAAACTGGGTTAAAAAAAGGATTTGTTTAAGTAGTTATTTTGGCGGGATTCAGTATGCCATGGAGAGGGCTGCAAATTTTGAGGGTGCGAGAAATTAAAAGGAAAAGAAAGAGAACAGTAAAAAGTAAAGAAAAAAATAAGGAAAGGAAGAAAGAAATGAGAACGGAAAGAAAACAACTGCAGAAAATTCGAATTGCGAATCACTTTTGATCGCATTTTTTCCTCTTCTTTAATTTCTATATTGATATAAAGTAAAGAACAAAAATTAAAAATCAAGTAACTTATTTTACAAAAATCTATATTTATAAAAATTGGGGAAGTTATTATTAAAACTCAAGATAGGTAAAGATGTCTTTTTTTGGTCAAAGATAGTTAAAGATGTCTAATAATTATGTGAATAGTATAATTTTAAACTACTGAGTCTGAGTTTTTTCTATTTCCCTTTTTATTTTCAAGTATATCATTTACTATTTATTTTAATTTTCTCTTTGCAGGTTCACAAGCATATACTTTCATGATCTATTTGATAGATTCTGGAGGTTTAGAACATACACTCGCGTGCAATATTCTTATACTTACGGCAACATCAAACATCATTTCAGTCAATGCAATTTTCGTCTCACTTCTTATACTTATTTAGAGAAAAGAGATATATATCACCAAATTAGGAAGAAAAAGAGGGATTTTATTTTATTTTTATGCCTTACAAATCAACAGTCGTATTTTATCAGTCGTTTAAAGTATTTAAAGCATTTGTTGAAGTATTGTGTTGGAACATTTGGATGCCTCTATCTTGTAAGTTGTAACATGTATAGGGCTTGAAGTATGGAAATTGGGCACTTGGTTTGTAATTGAAAATAATTTATAGTAGTAATATAATCAATTCATAGGATTAAATTTTGTATGCATATAAATAAGATTTTCTCTTTTATCTCAACTAAATTTAGAAGAAAAATAATAATTATATACTACATAGAAAAAAGAAAGAGAATGAAAGAATAGCTTGAAAAGGGTTAAAGAAGAACAACTGAGAGGAGAATGGAACCATGGTTAAACTAGTTTTTAGCTAAGGAAATCTTGTCCATTGATTGGTTAGTACGTCACATGTCAGAAAATCAACACCCTATTGAATAATACTGGACCAAACATCACTGGGATCCTGACCCTTCATTTTGCGTCTCAAATCTTCGATAACTCCTTTCCATTGCTTCAAGAGCGTTTCTGCCCATAAAAGATGTGCTATTTTGCATCATTAAAATAAACATAGATGTAACATATCCTGTAGAATTGTTTATGGTGGGGATAAATAGAGATTCGTTATGCAATGATTAATTGTATAGGGATTGTTAAATGCTGATTAATAATGAAGAGATTGTAACGTGAAGTAATGGTGAACACCTACGGGTGCCTTGTAAACCCATAATCTTCGGCTAAAACTTAGGTATATAGCATAAGTTTCCTTGATTAGTATTCCAGCGTGACAAAATCATTAAATATGTGATTATAATTTAATTCTTACATGAACGTGTATTTAAGCAACTTTAGATTTATATTTTTGTTCTTTATTAGTTATCCTATTAAAATTTGAGCATCGCGCTCTTAAATTTACGGCATCAATGCAAGAATTAGATTCTTCCTCATTGAACGAATATTTCTTCAAGTGATCAAGGCTTGTGTTTAAATGTTCATTGATAGCTTTTCTGCCCATCCACTCCTTCCTCCGTGATGACAGATCGCTGCTAGTGAGCTTTGATTTTAAATGGATCCAATGAATATGTTTTTTCATATTTTGGATCTCCATAATAACGTGAGGAATGATACGGTTATATCTGACAAAAGCACTAATTTTCGCCTAACAAAAAGAACAAAAAACGCGAAAATCAAACATGTTGTAGTATTAATAAACATAGAAACCGTAAAGAAAACGGAGAAATTGATCATCGATGATCAAAGGACAAATGTTAAAAAGAAGAGTATTCGAAATTGAAATAACACAACAAACCATTTATTTTGCAATAAAAACAGAACGTAAAAGCGGATGCATTAAATGATGATCACGATACAGTTAATTAGATGTAACTGTATCTTCTTGGTGTCCTGAATAAGTCCAGAGCTGCCTCTCTTCCTCGTGCCTCAATCTGAGCGCGAAGTTGAGCTGCAATAATCTGCTCATGAGCTTCATTTACTGAATTTATCGTTTCCACTGTTGGATTTGGATTTGGACTCGGACGCTGCTGTCTGGGGAAAACACCAACTTCAGGACTAATTGCGCACTGTAAGTGCGACCCAAAATCACAACAAGCACAATAGTACAACCAACTTTCCCTGTTCATTATGACATTGCAGATATCACAAACATATTCGATATTTTTATCTTGGTAAGGAGAACCGAAGTGGAGTCCCAATTGATGCGGGTGTTTGTCAACAATTATTGAGCTTGGACAAGAAGCACATTGCAAGTGAATATCAAATTCACAACAAGCACAGCTAAAGCAAGATCCATTGCCAGCAGAGCCACAAGCCTTGCAAGTATAAGAACGACTCGAGTAAGTTGGCATTGGGAGAAGGGTTAAAGGGTGGGAAGGATGAGATGAATGATTGAGAAAACGAGGAGCGTTGAAGCAGTTTTCGTGAAGGAAATACTGGCAGCTATTGCAGCCATAGAATGGCTTATTTCTATTGCTTGGTTTCTCACAAGCATTGCAAGTGAGAGTTTCAGCTTCAGTTGGATTCACAGGTTTCAAGATGTGGGGATGACTGAAGTGTTGTTTACCTTGAGAAGTCGAATCTCTACTCTGATTCTGTCTTCCCATTGAGTTTCCTTGTAATTTTGTCCAATAAGGATCAATATATTGGAGAGGTAGCAAGTTCAGTGATTAAACTAATTCGTGTTTGTTTTTATAGCGACTATGATAATAGCAACTTGGCCGCGTTTTTTTCCTTCAACGACTTTGCTTTCATATTCCTTTACTAAGTCTTCTCTGTGATAACAATATAATTTGTCCAATTGCTATACAAAAGTATTATCTCAATAGCTGTAGCATATTGACTGACTTTGCTGTAATTAACCACCGGATAATAAAATGCAGAGCGTCGTATTTTGAATTAGACTAATTAAAACACTGCCTTCTTGTTTGTTTTTGAAGCCAACGCCCGAAGAAGCATGATTTGTGAAGGAGGATGTATTCATCGGTGCTTAATTTCCTTTTTCATTTTTCTTCTGGCTTTATAGGTAGTCGTGTGTGATATGAATCGTAAGTTCAATCCACCGCAATTTCGCAATTCAAGTTGACTTACATCATTCATACTAATACCTACACACAACGAGAGGAATGATATTTGTTATAACAATTAAACTTATAATGTGGTTTTAAAGATTCGTGATTTCGCCTAATACTAATTGATAAATATAAAGATTAAATAATAGAAATTTTTTAAACAGAGTCCACAATTTAAGGAATTAATTTTGAACCATATTAGTCTATCCATATTTCTTTCCCATCATTAATCTATACTTACTATCTTTATGAAAGTTCCCGCTTTTAAAATACACTTTTTCATTATTGTATCAAACACAGTCTTAGTAAATTCACATTTTTATTCCATGTTTGAAGGTGTATACATACATATTAACTTTTTACAATGTAATTTTAAATATATACATATGTAATGAATATATTATGTATATTTGCCTATACCGAACGTGTTTATGTCTATTCAACGTATAATTTTGCATGCATAACGTATAAAAAAATATACATATTCAATATATGTTTATGTATATTTAGTATATAATTACATATACTTGATGAGATCAATATATAGTTTAAGTATATTTGACATTTGAAATATATACTCCGTATATATGATATATTTTAAATTTATATTTGATGTACATTATGAACAATAACATATAAGTGTATAAATATACTATTAGCATATTGAAACACACACATTTACTATGGAAATAATTTTAAGTTTACAGATTCATAAAATACTTATAATATTTCACTCATCTAATTATATTTTTATTACTATATGTGAAAATAACAACTAAAAAAATTAAAATAAGTGATACTTTCCTTTGGAGGATTCGTACATGTATGCCTTTTGGTTTGTGGCATTAATGTTAGAAGAGAGATGTGTGTTGAAGGTAATTAAATGGGCTGTATAATCTTATCAAACATTTTGGTAGAGATGAGTATTAATATGACTAATTTTCGGTAATTAATAGGGCTGATTTTGGGTCCTTTGTTTAATTAGAATCTGTTCATGGAAACTTGATTTTTGGTCCAGCATTATATGTTTTGGTCAGGACTGTAATTAATTAGGTGCTAGTTTGTTAATCACTAATTCCTGCTAGGAATCTGAAATTTTTTCTTGAATATTGGCTAATTATGTTTTTTCCTCTTAAAATTTTGAAGAGCACTAAACGTACATGATTTCGGGAAAATGTTGTAATTGTAAATGAATGTGTTCTTTTTGGAATAAAACAAAAGTAATGATCTTTATTTAAATATTATTTAAGAAGTAACTGACAATGTAAAAAACTCAAAAAAAGAAGGAGAAAAATAATTGGGAAAGTTTCATAATATAAGACTCACTTTCACGATTATATCAAATATTCAAAAAGTATTATACCCTATACCTCCAAATATTCCCACATTTCTGAAACATACGTCAGTAACCTTAAACTCTAATTTCCTCCCTCCCACCTATCAAATTCCCTTCTTTTAGCTTTTCTGGTTTCATGATCTTTTATTTTGGCAAGACTGCAGCTTTAACCCTTGTGTTATAGGGCTAGTGCCTATATTAGTCCCAGTCTCAGTTGTTGTGCACAAATTATGTGTGGAACACTGTTGCAATGACGGGGTTTAGAAGGAAAAAACTAAGGCTTAAAGATCGGGAAGAACTTATTTTCACTGCTGTGCATGATTAAATTTTGAAATTATTCTTATTATCTACGCCCATTTTCAAATTCTCCTACTTTATTTTGTTCCTTTTACTTTGTTATCTAAAATTCGGTTTGTTGCCTACTATTTTATTTGAATTATCAGAAATTTATTATTTTTTAGAGTGAACATTGACAACTTATTGAACTTACCTAATATATGTGAGCTATAGTCAGTTATTGTTAGTTGAGGAGAAGAGTTAGTTAGTCAATTATAGTGGTTTGTAGGACCCAGTAGTTAAGTAACTAGAGTTAAGTTAGTACAGAGTTTTTTTTTTTTGGTGTAAAAGATGCATATTATATAATATTAAGGTGGTTCGTTACAAGGAGTAGAAGGCATTAAAACCAACATTCTAGGGGGGACGACCTCTGGATGGGTCGTAACAAAAAGGGGGTTCTGGGGGTAAACTAGTAGTAGTGACTGTTTCTGGAGGGTAACAAACAACCCCGTTGCGGGTGCTAGTTTGACTGTGTGGGGTTAGTTTTCTAACAAAAAGACTTCCCAAACGGTGTCTTAAAGCAGCTGCTGTACAAAGTGCGGTGGTTGAGCAAAAACAGTGATGTTTGGTGAAGCCTCCATCTGCAAACCATGTTTAGCTAAGGAGTCAGCTACCCGATTTTGTTCCCTGTACGTGTGAAGGATATTCGGATCATGCAGTCGAGCGATCAAATACCTGCAATCAAGGATAATGTTAGCATAAAGTGGATGAGAGGAATGGAGTATAGGAAGAAGGGCCTTAGCATCTAAATTGACTTCCAAGTGTGTGTAGCCGTTAGTAAAAGCGGCCGTGATATAGTGCTAAGAGCTCAGCTTCCATGCTTCCATGTACTAAGCGATGTCCCGCAAAGCCCAAAAGCCAATTACCCGAGCGGTCCCGGATGACTCCACCAATTCCCCCATGAGTAGTGTGTTGTGAGGAGGAGCCATCAGTATTAAGTGTAAAGTAACATGTACGAGGAGGATGCCACTTGATATGCATAGGGGTTCGGGAGGAGGTAGGGCAGGGGGG